ATTTAATTCTGTTCCTTCGTGCCAGAGCTCCCAGTTCACCTAGGCATTCCCAGACGAGTTTCGACGGTACCTTTGGGCTCATAAGCGCCCCACTGCCGCCTGACTGTCTAAGCATATACTGATGAGCTTACCTGAAGAAGCTCTTCTATTGTTTTCTCTCGCACATTGTAGAATGGTGAAGATTCTGTCTGGAATAGGGTTGAGTATTTACCCAAGGAAAATATATTTTTTATATATTTTTGGTTGGCTAAAATATTGATAAGACCTATTGATATTTTGCTATTGCCCTTTTGGGGCCTTTGAGCATTTTTAGAACCTTAAATATATTATTTTTCAGTACAGTATCATACAGGACGACATATTATATCTGCAAATGCAGCTTTTTATTATCGATATCCGAGAAGTATTAGTTTTCGTATTGATTGAAAAATATCTCTGCAGAGTTGGATAAATTCCAAGTTTAAACTCTTTAATCAAGTTACAATGTTGCAAATACTTTTTCTTATAGTCTAAATGGTTTAATAACGGAAAACTACTGATTATACGATAGTACAGATTGGTACAGGCAAAGATTTTCAGTTGCAAAAAATTAGTGTAAATGACAATATATTTCAAACGTCTATTGGAGGCTTTAATAATTAATCTAAAAATGATGATCCTATAAAAAAAAATAGAACTATATACAAATACGACTTACATTAATAAGAGAGTTGCATAAAATTGATATTAATATAAAAAATTAAGCATTTTTTATAATTTAAAAAATATTGTGTAAAATGTATATAATACCTAGGTACCTAATAATTTTCATACGTATTGTACTTATAAATGCGATTAAACATTTTAGTCCGTCCATAATATTGTTACCTACTCGTATTTTATTGAATAAAAATTTAATGACATTATTGCATGGGACTTCGATTTATTTTTGGAAACATCTAATCTAAATGAAATATCTTAATCTCTGCGTAATATAATCCAGCCTTATATAAAAAAATAATAATAAAAATATTAAATACATTATACATGTAATGATATATTTCCAATATTTCACTTAGTGACATTACCTGTTAATAGAATATTGTTTTGGTACCCTAATTTGTTTATAGAGACATTTAATATCCATATTTTATAGATAATATTTTATTCTATATTTCGGATAGGTATGTGATACATCTATTGGAATAAATTAAATTTTATTAGCAATATTATCAAAGATAGATACGTTTAATGAAGAAAAAACAATTTATACTTTTCATAATCCTTTAGCAGATCTATCATTTTCCGGATATCCACAGATACTAATTATTTATAAGATATACCGGGTGCGTTTCAAAAGTGGCTCACCCCTATAAATTTTTTATTTTTTCAGATAAAAAAAACGAGATTTGGTATGTGATATACTAATAACATAAATTGGGACTAACTGACGTATTCAATTGTTTTTGGTCACTTCCTGTTTCACCGGAAATGACTACAACTTTTGATTTTTAAATGGCACCCTCGGTATTTTTTTTACTTTATTCGATAGAAAATGATATTCTGAATAGACTGATATATCATATGTCAACTTTTTACATTCTCGCTTAATAAAAAATAGTATTATAAATTTCAATCTAGAGTGCCATGGCTATATTAATAACACTAATTCATAATCAAGGAGCTTTGGAAAAATAGATTTGATCGTCTAATGTTTTTAGTGTCTTGTCCTGGCCGGTTTAAAGATGCCCAAATCGTATTTTTAATCATATCTCAATTTTTTCAAATGGGACGAGGGTGGCTCATTAGCATATTTGGAAAGAATATTTTTTTACGAATAATTTGATACCACATACTTGGTATTTCGAGTCAAATTTTCGTTACGAACCGCAAGTTATAATTTCAAATAAACAATATGCGAAAATGTCAAAAGTTGACATATAATATGTCATTCTATTCAGAGTGTTATTTTCTATCGAATAAAGTAAAAAAAATACCTAGGGTGCCATTTAAAAATAAAAAGTTGTCATTTCCGGTGAAACAGGAAGCGACCAAAAACAATTGAACACGTCAATCAATCCTAATTTATGTTATATACTACCAAATCTCGTTTTTTTAACTGAAAAAATAAAAAAGTTATAGGGGTGAGCCACTTTTGAGACGCACCCGTATAGGGATATATTATAATAATTTTTTTTTCTTTTCAGAAGTTCCTTTAAAAGCAACTTAAAAATTGAAAAAAATATGGTATAGGTTAGGTTGTGATCCAACCCATGATCCATGATCCATGGGTTGTGATCCATGACCCATAGGTTGTGAACGAACACATGATCGAAAAAAAAACGGCGTCAAAGACGGCTAGGGAATGGCTATCGATAATAATTTTGGCGAGGTCAATCTCTAGACGCCATTAACTAAAAATTGACATAAAACTTGTCAAAATTAACCCTACTTATAGAAGGTTTAAAAAGTGATAGAACGTTTCCAGACACATAAATCTTTTTCCAAAATTTTTTTATTCTTAAATTTTAAATTACACCATTTAAAAATCATTTTTACCCAATATCAAAATAATAATAAAAATATATTACAACCTTCTTAAGACCAATTGGCAGTAAGGGCCATTAAAAAATAAAGAAGAGTACGGGTCAAATAATAACGTCTAGAGACTGACCTCGCCAAAATTATCATCGATTTTCATTTCCCTGCCGTCTTTGACGTCGTTTTTTCCCATGATATCCCAATTATTTTTTAAAATTTAGTCTCTTCAATATTGGGTGTATTATTACATACAGTATTCACTATAATGAAGAGTGTCAGTTTTGAAGCAAATAAATAATGTTTTTTTTAAACAAATCTAAATATTTGTGCTTACAAAGAATAAGGAAACTGCTAATTTATTACTGTAGGTATCTTAACTATTATAATAAGTAGGTTATATGATTCGCAGGTATTTATTCGTTAGGTTATCTCATTTTTATTCAACAAACGTATAGAACCGTGAGAAAAATTCACCAGATATTGATAAAAATTTACATTCAGGTCGTTTTAGTTTTAATAATATTTAATAATAATATTTTATAATTCGTATACTCCCAAGATACGAATATATTATATGGTATGATATTTCACGTTTTAAAGAGATGGTATAGATTTTAGTGGATTATTTTTTTTTAATATTTAGCTTAACTGCAAAACGATAATTTTTTAATATTTATATAGATAGAAAAGGGACTGATAAATTCCCCTACAAAATACATACCTAAAAGTATCGGATTTATAATTTAAGTGACAGCCCTAATTTCTCTTCCAATAGGTCTGATAATATTCTATTACATTAGTTGACCTTTTCGTTATGTGGTTCATTGTTCTATTAAGTTGTTCAATTGGCAAATGCACACAGATTCAATAACCTTCAATAAGGATTATTGATGACTATAGTTGAATTACATTTAAAACATTAAATTATTAGATGTTCGGTAGTTGATAATTTGCATCTTTCTAAGAAAGAAATATTTTTTTGCTTTATAACCATTTATGGAATGGACCAAAAATGGAAAAAAATAATCAATTTAATTAATATTACAAATTACAAATAAGGTATGAAATATCCTAAGAAGCGATTTGCGATTGCGAATATTACACTAAAAAGCAATTTTTTAAAAATTTAAAAAGAGGTTAAGAAGGGTGAAATTAGGGGTGCCAATTTGAATGATTTATGCTCGGATTTATGATATTTGAATTACTACTATTTTACTTTATATGGAAGTTACTATCTGGTCTAGAAGTGTAACATTTTGTAAAACTGTTTTTTAAGTGCTGTTATTGAACAGTATAAGAAGCAATTTTTTTGGAAATTCATACCCTCGGATGCGATATTAAGGGTGAAAATTTGTATGAAATTTCTTATATCTTGCCTAGAAGTATAAAATTTAGCACAAAATTACATAATTAAACAAAATGACGTAATTAAACACTGGGAGGAAAAAATTAACACATATTTGGAAGGTAATGTGTCGTAATTAGGGGTAAAAGTTTGTAGGAAACTTCCTTACAACTAGCTCAATGTTAAATAACTTAAAATCTATCAAATACCCCTACAGGCAGCAGGCGATCATTTTGATAAGATTAAGAGGGGGTGATAGTCAAAAGCTCTGTACAGCGGAAAAACACGTGAACAGATACTTGATTAGGTTATGATTTTCCAGGTTAAAATAAACTGTTTGTACATTTCCTAAGTTCACAGTAAAGTGAAATTCGGATGTCAGTGTTTTTTTTTGTGAGTTACATAATAAAGTCCAGTAAACATGGACTAAATCAAGAGCCAAAAGATTGTTATCAATATTATCATACTACCTATACCGGGTGTGTGTCAAAAGTGGCTCACCCCCTATAACTTTTTTATTTTTTCAGATAAAAAAACGAGATTTAGTATATTAGTATATGACATAAATTAGGATTGATTGACGTATTCAATTGTTTTCGGTTACTTCCTGTTTCACCGGAAATTATTACAACTTTTGATTTTTAAATGGCACCCTCGGTATTTTTTTACTTTATTCGATAGAAAATGACACTCTCAATAGAATGACATATCATATGTCAACTTTTGACATATATTTACATAGTTATACGGGTGGGCCACTTTTGAGACGCACCCGGTATAGCCATCTTACCCAATCTATAGATATATATTATAGAGTAGTTTACCAAAAATTTCCCCGCATAAACTTAACAAAACCCCCAGTCTTCCCAACATCTTCTTGTGAATTTTGTTTTTAATCAATCAAAATCAATACCAGCAGACTACCTCTTATTTGAAAAGGTTTGGTTTGGTTTGGTAGTTTAGTAACACTTGCAATTAATAAATCGATGGTATTTGGATTTAATGAACTAACACTTCCTGTTTTTTCAATATTTATGTAAATGATAACAGATGTATATTAATGATGATAAACAAAAAAAATCAAATTTATAATAATTATCAAAAAGGATTAAAAAATATACATATAGGTACTCACAGCTAATTCCTAGTAGAATAAGCACAATTATATCCATTTTTCTTCACAAACAGTTTACCAAAAAACTCCCCTGAGAAAAAACCGACTCAATTCACATCATTTATTTACTTGTCAATTTCGTCTTTCGAATACTGACCCTATTTATTATTCAAACAAGCTCTTGTTCGCGAAAGCTTCGCTTCTGCTTTTTTTATCGTTCACCCGGCGCAATTCTATAGTGTTCCGTTCCGACGCGATACCGGTAACATCTTCGAAGCGTTTGCTCCGCTTCTCGCTGTTTGGTTCGGTTTTCGTTTGGCACGGGAACAGAACCAGACATTCGGACTGCGATGTGGCCGCCGATTTATTTTATTACTTTCTGCAAAGTCGGGTGGAAAGATTAGTACGAGGGCAAAAGATAAACGATTTGAAAGAATGTTTGTGTCTATTCTGTGTTAACACAATTTAAATTCAAATTGTCCCAATTTGTATTCAAATCTTCCCAATCCGTTTGTAATTCAGTGCTTGTTTACAATATTTTGACTAAACAGAGTTTGCGGATTGTGAAGTCCCCTTTTTCATTGCGATAGTATCCAAGATCTAGGGGCACGGCAGTGCCCCCGCCAAGTCGAGCACCGCCGTACCACGTACCATCCTTTTCTCGAAGGTATTAGCGGCCTTCTGACCACCCTATAACTTCGTTGTGGATATGGATAAAGCCAAGAATATTAATTAATAACTAATATTAAATAAACATGAGGACATACTATTGCTGGCTAGATTACCAAAATATCTAGTAATTATACCACATAGTTTATCAATTATCGCTTGTCAAATTTCTTTAATTTGGCCATTGACTCACTGACACATTACATCATCAAAATTCTAAGGTACTTCTAGATGTGTCACAAGCTTCAGAATTTTAGGTAGCTTTAAGCTTATAACCAAAGGAAAAAATGAAATGTCTCGAAATATCCTTATGGATTAAAACTTAGCTGTCTAACCGCTACCGGTAACTGACTTTTCACCGATGGTAATGGCAGAACCGGTGATAGGTTTTTGAAAATGTGGATCTTTATATAAAGGCACCTGCTCCATCTATCTAAAACATTATCAGCGTTACTGCGTACCGGATCATTTGAAAAGTTGTTTAAACATATTTGCATATTATTACATTAAATAGATTAAAGAAATAGTCGTTGGAATAAAATGCGGTAAAATAATTAATACTAAAGAATTTTCTATCAATTGGTGATACTGAAAATAAATTTTAAGAAAAAGATCCATAAAAAATCCTTAAACGTTTGTGTCGCAATAATTTTGATTGCTGAAATATATAGTTTTAAACAAAGTATGCGATTGGACTCTTGGACTATTTATTTCATTACCGTTTATTTAAATTTTCGCCGACGATTCGCTGTCGGGCTGTCACCACGAATTTAACAATGGCGTTAATTGATTGAGCCCTGAAAAAGAAGGTAAAAAACAGTCATTTATACATTCATAAAAATAGGAGCTCCAAATTTAAGATAAAAATGGAACACTAAAACACCAGAACATCTAATTTCTAACACTGGACGCGCGTTTTGCTGCATCCATGTTAGCATCATCAGCGGATGATCAAAACTGATATCAGTTTTAATTTTAATCATCTGCTGATGATGCTAACATTGTTAACGTGGTTAGCGAAACGCTCGTCCAGTGTTAAAAGTAATGTGTATAGGGTGGGCCACTGAAAACTTACAATGGCTATAATTCTTAAACCAAAATAGATATCAAAAAAATAAAAAATACCGTTTCTATAATATCGAGGGGGAATACATATGACGTATTTTTTGAACCACACCGACTTGTGGCGCCTTTTTGGAAAACCCATGAAAAATGCTAAACGATGTTCATAAAGTTTTTAGGGTGAAATTGAAAAACTACTCTTACTACTCTACTTCTACTACTTACACGAAAAATTAGGTGGACATTAATGAAAAAAGTGATTTTTTCAGCATAAGTTACAAATTGGGACCCAGCTTAATGAGGCAAATGAGGTGTTTTTCAAACCACCCCGACCCACCCTTAGGTGCCACCCACTCACTTCTAATCTCAAGATAGCGATACCCCACTTGTGACACTTCTTTGGAAAGCTAATTGAAATTGCTAAACGATGGTCATACAGATTTCAACTTCTGTCTTCTTTCAACAATTACTGGTAAGTAGTGATAAGAAATGTAGGTTTGACAATTTGAAAGAAATTTAAAATGATAATTTATTTTAACAATTGTTCAAAATGACAGCCGTTTTGTTCCATACAAAAATACAAACGATTTTCAAATTCTTCTCTCATTTTTTGGAAAGTCTCTCTCGGAATATTTCGACATGCTTCAGTTATCCTCTGTCGCAATTCTTGCAAGGAACCTGGTTTTGTCTTGTAGACTATGGATTTAGTGTAACCTCACAAGAAAAAGTCTAAAGGAGTGCGATCAGGTGACCTTGGCGGCTACTCGATTGGACCCCTTCTGCCAATCCATTGCCTTGGATAATATCTATACAACCACCGCCTTGTGACAATAGAATAATGCGGAGGGGCTCCATCTTGCTGAAAGTGTATGAGGTCTTCATTAAGAGTTAAATTTCCTTCCAAATCTCTTTGATTTTCAATCTCATTTACAATGGCTGGCTCTATCAAATTGTTCTGCATTTCCACATAAGCATCACCAGTCAAATTTCCGTCGATGAAAAATGGACCTATAATTTTATCGCCTAGTATTCCGCACCAAACATTGAGCTTTTGGGGATGTTGGGTGTGTCCTTCAACAACAATATCCGGATTCTCATCGCTCCAGTATTTGCAGTTCTGCTTATTCACAATTCCGTTTAAAAAAAATGAGCACTCATCAATAAAACAAATATTTTTAGCAAGTGAAGGTTCCCCTAGGATTTCCTCCGTCATTAGTTCACAGAACTTAATCCTTCTATCTGGATCGTCGTCGCCAATTTCCTGCAGAATCTTCATTTTGTAGGGATGGAATTTGTGCATTTTCAATACTCTCCTGACAGATGTTCGAGGTATACCTGTGATTGATCCCTAATTCTTTGGCAGACACATTAAATTTTTTTCAATAATATATAAAGATCGTCAGTGAAGAGAGCTGGAATGTTAATTATATTTAATCTTAAACAAGATCTACTAATTGTGCTTCCGTGTGTTTTGATTTCATTTGTTTGATTACCAAAATTTATCTGGCAGTTCTAGTTAAACTTGAGACCTTGAATTTTCAGGAAACATTGACATTAAAACGCGAGTATAGAGTATATTTGAACAAAACCATATTATGTAAGCGCATGTTTGGAATAGATAAGCATTATGAATATTATCACCATACTATCAAAAAGACCGAAAAAGACGAAAAAATCTTGTATATTCGAATTTATTTATACATATTTTAAAGAAAATTCTGTTTACCTTCCAATATTCTACTAGGGTACAATATATTTTTTATCAATTTTTAGTACTTTCCCCAACTTTACATTGAAAATGAAATAGGATGTACTATATATTGAAATAAAAACTATGTCATATCTTAAACAGCTTAAATTCAATGTCAAGTCAAAAGTAATTTGTTCCTAAATTGCCAATGTTTTAATTTGCGCCTACGCTTAAACTAATATACAAATAATATTTTAATATACATGTTTAATCCAAAGTAACATAATGTATGTTTCAGAATATTATTATTAAATTCAAATTCTATTGGATTTTTTCGAAAAATCACCTTCAGAGGCGCCAATATGAGAGGGTAATGGGGTCAACTCTCAAAAAATAAATAAATAAATTAGATAAATTGCAATGCTGTATTTTGTATTCTCTCAGAGTATCAGAGGTTTAGGATCTGTTCTCTGATGCCTTTTCTAGGAACAAATCCAGTTAGTTCAAAGCACACATCTGTAGAAGAAGAAAATATTTGAGGTGCATGGTTAAGAGTACTTTGTTGGTATGGATGTTTAGGGCAATCATTCTATGGTTACTACAATCCGATGGTAAACTTTTTTTGAAAGTTGGAACAAAGATGAAGTTACACCATCCGCCTGGACATTTGCTAATATTCCAGATTTGTTGAGATCATATTTATTTATTACTATCTTAAAAAATGACATGTTTATATTACTATGGCTAAGATGGGGTGGAAAAAGAAGATAGAACACTATCAATATGTATTTGTTTAGGCAATAAAAAAAAGAAAAATGTTTAGGCAATAACCTTATACAGGCATATTATGTTGGGGTGTCTCACTGTTGGAATTACATGTACATTTTCTTGGCAAGCACTGGCAGTCATTGGCATTAGCCTTACGGCAATCGACTATAATTATATGGTAGACATAAGCAGTCTTCTTTGCAGTTATTGACAGTTGCTGAGAATTATATTTTGGCAGTATATTTTTTACCCAAGTGAAACACCACTCGGGAATAGATAATAGATAAATGATAACATGGACTATCTTGTCATTAGAATGTTCGATTAGTTACCAAACTGATGCACGTTATTATTTTGTTCGATTTCCAAACCAAGTTTTCAGGATTCTATAAACTTTGGTAATTCAAAAGTATTTACATATTATAATGCTAAAAGAAATAACGTGACAGAATAATCAGTGTAGATCATTAACTATATCGGTTTAACGAAAAATGGACAATATTATTTCTATTACTCTAAAAAAATTCTAAATATATTTATATTTATGTCATACAAACAATGCATAATGATGTATTGTGAGATTATTTCAAAAAGTACTTGAACAGCTACTAAAATTTCAACAAAACAATGAGCATATCTATTATGTCCGAGTAGCAACTAATAAAACTGATATGTTACGTTAAATAACGTATAAAATATGTTTATATGCCGAGTATTCGAGGTCTTCAATACTATTATTCGATTTTGTTTGATATAATTGGCAATTAAACAAACAAATAAGCGTAATCCGATCTAATAATAGACAGGATTTTTAACAGACAACTTAATAAATATAGGAAGTATCTGTAATTTTGTTGTAACAAAGTAGTAATCATATTTTAATGTTGTATTGCTACTTGATAATCATTTATGATTTTTAAATTTAATAGTCAGTGATTTACATATATGATTTTTTTTTCTTTTTCCGCAATTTTTACAGTTTCCATAATAGCTTACTATTAATGGCGTATTTAAAATACGTGCCAGTACTGCAACATCCTTTATAAAAAAAGTTGTGTGTGCACTATGTGCGCATATTTGAAGTGAAACTTCTTACTAACAGCTATTAAATTGGAGGATTTGAAGGACATGTTTGAAAAA